TGTACAGCTAGGACATATTTAAATAATTAATGCACATTCACATAAAGTTTGGTTATGCTTATTTTATTTCATTTTATGTCCCAACCTGTGCAATCTCTTCCATCTTTGTTGTTCTGCCTGCACACTCTACTCTTCCAATTTTAATCTAATGCTCATTCCTTAATCTTTCCAACCCACCATCAGACACCACGGTGGGATGGAATGCTCTCTCAAAATCTCTTCACCTTGTTTTCCCTCCTCACTTCCTTCAAAACCCTCTTAAAAACATGTCTGTTCAGTTTTACTTTTAGTCAACATCCTCTTGGAGGGAAGAGATCCAATGGGCCAAAGAGCCTTCTTCATCCAAACCAATATTATGAATTTGTGTGATCTTATTTTAAAACGTAAAACAAAATTTTTCAAGATGTTCATCCTATGTGAAAGGCCTAAAGATACAAATGCAAGTTATTGTCTACTACGGATCCTATTCCCATATTTATGTAGGTATTTTATGTGCTATCTGTTCGTGGTCAGTTCTTTAAATTCATGTTCAGTTTTCAATTATATAGAATTGATATTAAAATATGAACACTCATACTTTTTCATAAAAGAATTAGATTGGTTTTTCATTACAACTGTGCAAAATTTCTGAATCCAAATTGTAAATAAATTTATAATAATAATCATGAGCTTGCATTTCAATTTGGGAGGATGTGTTGAGCACTTCACAGGATTTACTGTAAAGTGTAGTGACTGTATATTTTGTAGACAAATTTATATACTAAAAAGGAATAGCATGTGGAACAAGTCAGGGGACTATCCATATGATCATATTAATGTCATCAGATCCCAAAGGATAAATTAACATGACCTGTACCTGAACATTTGAGAAACCGTTACAATTACACACAGAAAGATGAGCAGTCAGCATACTACATTGCTGAGAAAGAGGTGATAAAGATGACACTGAAGAGGATATGTGGGCAACATGAACAGCTTTTTCTTTCTCAGTGAAAAACGTATCATTGGTAAATTAAATGCTAATAAAGAAATTAAACTTAATATTAATATTAACTGTAGTTATCACTGTTAATAGCTGACCACCCTGTCTGGCTCTTGAATGATGTAGACTTGTCCTCAAGCCCGTGAGCAAAACTCTGTTGGGTAGGACGGTCCTAACTGGACAAATACTGGGTTTATCGCTATCTCCATTAAAGTCTGATATAGAAATTTAAAGTGCAAAAAAGAATTCTTTGTACAAAGTCTTACCATGCAATAGTAGTTCTGTGCAATACTTCTTCAATGCGTAAAGGATGGAGGTATAATGGTAAGTAGAAGTCAATAATAATTATGCACAATCTGTACTAAAATCTGGTTACCAATTTCACATATTTGCTGAACAGCTGGCCACTGAGCTCTGGGAGGAGCTGTCTATCAGAAGATGTTTTATTGGATGGCAATCTGGAGTGCAGTTTAGCTCAGTCAATGGAGAAGTTGATTCTATTGCTTTAAACAATGCTTTCAGGTGACTCAAGGGAACTCTGAATTTAACATCCAAGGCAAGTAGGAGGAGCGGGATGGTTGGCTTTGTATCAGCAAGGTGAATAGATTGACTAGAGAAATAATGTTCTCCACATCTGTCTCGAGTAATTGAATAATATTAAACAATCTACCCATTTCAGGGTACATGTGAGTATTACCACATTATACTCTGGCACGGATATTGTGAATGGCATATGACACCAGGCAAGTATTATCCTTCCCAACGCTCTGTGGTAGTATCCACTGGCAGCTTATGTTGCAGACATTTCTTGGTTGTTGATATTGCAAGCCCTCCTACATGTACACATTAGCTCAGCAAAGGCTCTGTGGAGGATCCAACAACAGATGATGGATTTTGTTTTGCGCTGCTCAGCAGCACATAGTGAACTGTCTTTTCTGAGTGGTAACTATTCATTGGTGGTGGATTCTTCAACCTTCAGCTCAACCTCTGTCCTGGTTGATATGACCTTGTGGATGGATTAACAACAACAACAACAGAGTGTGAGGGCAGAGAGCCTGAAAGCCAGGCCACCGATAGTAGAGCGGATCGGGCGGGAGATATGGAGCAGGCCGGAGCCTAATGAATGGAGGGAGCGGACAGATTGGTAGGGAGTCAGCAGGTCAGAGAGGTAGGAGGGGCAAGGCCTCTGTTGAGAAAAGGACAAAGTGCAATTGGAAATGACTAACTGACAGGGAGGACTTTCCTTCCATTTATAAAGGATTTTTGTCTTGTGTATTAGTGAACTTACAAACTGATACCAAGTAATTGGGGACTTTCTGCTTTCAACTACTTTTACTATACTGGACTATTCAAATTATGGGCAACTACCACTCAAGTTTCTTAAGTATCTTAAACAATTTAGCTATCATTTCCACAGACACGTGAATACTTCCACACAAGCGACAATATTACCTCCTGTTTATTTCCACCATACCCCCATATCACTTCTAAGTTTGATAAACATTTTGTATCGCCAAGCAAATGATTTTAATTTCCTCTCTGGGCATTGGAGCTATTGCATACGTAATATCTTGGTATCAGTTTGTAAGTTGACTAATACACAAGACAAAAATCCTTTATAAATGGAAGGAAAGTCCTCCTGGGCAGTTAGTCATTTACGATTGCACTTTGTGGAGTCCTGTAGCTCAGTGGTTAGAGCACTCGCCTTACAAGCGAGACACCTGGGTTCAGTTCCAGGTAGGGCGAAACCTTGAGCAAATTTTCTTACCCTACGCACCTAATAATAATCCCTCCAAAACAAAAATAAATAAATTGGTCATTTTCAAGCCATGACTGTTTGTGGGACACTGCTGTGTGCAATTGGCTGCTGCGTTTCACCCACAAAATTATACGGTCAATTTACTTTACAGCATATTCTGTGAAGCTCTTTGAAACATCTAGAAGACATGAAAAGTGCTATATCAAAAATGCAAGGATTATTATTATCCCCAAGTGCAGTATATTGACTGAATATAATTAATTATTTTACTACTGAGCAAAAAACAGACATAAAGCTTCACCCAAACTCAGTCAAAATAATAATATATAAATTATCCTTGCATTTGATATAGCACCATACCACGTCTTTAAGATGTCTCAAAGTGCTTCACAGAACATACTGTAAAGTGAAATGACTGTATATTTTGTTGGCGAAATGTGGCAGCCAATTGCGCACAAACAATCGTGGATTGAGTGACCACATTTTTTATTTATTTATATATTTTTGAAGGGATTATTACCCCGGAAAAGCAATCTACCAATTGACTAACAACAGAGTTGCTACTTACTGCTGGGTAAACAGAGGCATGTGGAGTAAGGAAACTTGCCCAACGTTTCGCCCTGCCGGGAATCAAACCCAGGTCCTCTCGCTTGCGAGGCGAGCGCTCTAACCACTGAGATACAGGACTCCACAAAAAGGGATCCTGTCAGGCACTTTACATTAAAAAAAACTTGAACCATTATACTGAGGAGGCAGTACATGGAAAGGAGGCATTAAGGTTTATGCAATGCCCACTTTCGTTAATGGATGAGTGACTGTACAGACTCATCAATACTCCTAGTAACCTATCTCAGAGAAGTTTGTGAGTGTCTTCGTGTGTTGCATACAATCACTCTTTTTTAATGTAAATAAGTAATCTAAAAATAGATAGTTGGATGGGTTCCACAATAAGAAGTGGTGAGAGCATTGAAGAATGAGTGATGGATTTTTATTTTTAACTGATCCAACCAATTCCAACTTGCCCTGTGTTTCGTGCGTCATGTCATTTCCAACTCTCACCACCCACCGTCCTCTGGGTGGTGAAAGCCCCTCAGCGAGTCTTGTGCAGGACTTTATATGCCCCAACCATCCACATGGAGCCTTCACTCACATCTCAGTGACGTTCGCCTCTTCTGGAACCGCTGCCCAAACCCCTCCTTTATATAAAGCCATTTGAGAGAGATCCCCTCTCCAAACCACTGCTGCTGATTGACCATCTGCTGTCGGGAGCCAAAGGGACCACATGCGCCCCCAAGTACAGGGCAACACAATCCACCCCAAAGGTAAGTCCAGTGGTGATCACTTTCTCTGTGCATTGCTGCAAAACATCCGCCTTGTTGCGAATAGCGAACCACGCATTTCGGTGGTGACTTGGATTGCAATTCCCATTGCAGCTGATCTTGGAAGTCAGGTTCCTCACAACAAAGGCTGAGGTTGAGCCTTGCCTCTGTTTCCCAAATTGAAGCCAGTCTGTTAGCTTCAGGTCAAATTTTCCCTCTTAAAAAAAATAAGCCTTAAATATTGCCAATAAGCGGCTTTGAATAGTGCAGATGTTTTCGAGGCTGGAATCGTGTTCAGATCCTGACAGATCTTTGCTCCTGTTGCAGTAGCTGCCCGTTAGACCCACACCCACATGGGGAAACAGGGTGAGCAGCACAGACAGTCCATGTGTAAACCTTGCGGTTTGTAGCTACTGATCTATGTCGTAGATCGGTTAAAGTTTTTCAGGCTGATCAACGAGCGATCTTCCAACTGCAATAGGTTCACCGGAGAACTGAAGCATTTTCGCGGATTGCAATGTTTGGATGCGACCCTCCCCAGCTCTCCCCTCTCGATACTGTGCGATGCTCAGATTCAGTTTCGCAGCTGCAGTCTATTGCAATCCGTGAATTAGTTTGTGCCCGTATTTTGCACTGTGTACATGGAGATGACATTCCTCACTGAACGGTTCAAACAGACATTTAAATCCAAGACTGATTCAGAGAGACAACACTGCCCTCCCCCCCCCCCCCCAACACACACACACTTACATTCACTCCAGACGTGTGCGTTTTGCCTTCTGATCTGAAGACTACATGCATATATTTTATTAGGAATCCCCTGACGTTGCTCTGTGGGATTCGTGTATCAATTCTCAAACGCAAAGCAGAAAACGTGTGTTTTGTTTTCCTACAGGTCTCAGTCGGTGAGCAATCGACACCAGCTATTTTGCAACTGAACATGGCTGTTCACGTCGAAGGGATCATAGCTATTGTGGTGTTTTATTTATTAATCCTACTTGTTGGAATATGGGCTGCTTGGAAAACGAAAAATGTGGGATCCGAACAAGGGATTGATCGCAGTGAAGCCATAATGATTGGAGGGAGAGATCTGGGGTTGTTGGTTGGTGGATTCACGATGACTGGTGAGTCTGTAGCGTTATATTCCCCACACCCTGAAGTTAGTTGCCCAAGTAACTTCACCCCTCATTCAGTTCTCAAGCGCATGCAGTTTTCCTTTTATATATAGGAATACCTACTCCATTGGCGGAGTGAAATCGGTGGCAGTGAGCGAGTGAGCGGTATAACGTGAAGGCATTGCATCGCCTAACGTAAGGAGTGAAGTTTACAGTTGTTTCAATCCATACTATTATGCGGAAGAAGTAACTCACAGGGAGAGACGCTCTCACTCCGCTTAGAAAGTGATTCAACATTATTTCAGAGATGTGGAAATAAATCTGGCAATGCCCCAACTCCACACACACACACACACACCTTCACCTCTCAATGACTTGTTCCTGCAAATTGCTCGCCAGGCAATTTGAACTGACCGATGGTGTTTGATTTGCTGAGTGAAAATCGTTTATGAAATAAGTGGATAATCATTCCAGTAAACGCCCAAGTTAAGCTCCCCGTTACTTTCAACGGGTTGGACGTATTGAAGCTGTGTTTGCTGTTTATTCTGGTCTATTCCCTGTAGATTATATTGGCTAAAGCAAGTCTCAGATAGAGTTAGGGAACGTTGAAATATACACAATACTTTCAGATAGGGCAAAGCAGCAGGACATTAGTTTACAGGTGTTTAGGACAGTCACCAGCAATTGTTTTATTTAACACCGAAAGTAATAAGCAACTGATTCAGATTTCCAGAGAGGATGGAGAGCTAGACCAGCACACTGCATTCAATAACCAAATAGATTTCTGCTTCAATGTAATGGGTTGGTGCGATCAAATCAGCTAAGTTGTATTTGTTTCTTCCTCTGAACCTCTTTTGAGACATTTCGCGGAAATTCGGCTGTACGATGCAATTCAGATTGTAAAACCAGAGCGACAGCTTCCCTCGCCGTTGCTGAATGTGGGATTTGCCAATTTGGCTTTGTGCTGACAAGGGCTGAAATTTAAATATTTATCTTCTCCCATTCCAGCGACCTGGGTTGGTGGTGGTTATATCAATGGCACAGCAGAGGAGGTGTATGTCCCTGGGCACGGCTTGGCATGGGCACAGGCTCCCTTTGGATATGCACTCAGCCTGGTCATAGGTATGAAATCAAACTCTCGAGCAGTTTTGAACTGGAAGGAGCGAAAGTTTCAGCAATTGCCATACAGATCTCCAGCAACCAGTCGCACGGGCTGATGTGTATGCATAACCACCACTTACTAGTTAACTGCTGCCATAAACATGAGCAAACGAGTTTTTTTTAATCAATCCACATATAATTTCACATTTAAAGTCATATGTGCAGATACAACGTAATTGCAATACACTGCTCTTGAACAGAACTCATTTATTTCCCCCAAACCCTGTGTATTGCCGGCACTGTTGAATATTTCAGTTCTGTGAACAGTATTGAGGACGGGAATATAATACTCTAGAGCTGCACACACATACACTCGAGACAGTTTTATTCCCAGTAGCAGATAACTATGAAATCGATTATTGTTTCTCTGTTCAATTAACTCATGATGTCACCACCAGACCCATGTAATTCACATCGCATTCAGCGAATCCAAGATACAGTATTCAACATACAACTGGTTAATAGCACACACCACTTGAGACAAATCAAGCTCCAGTCTAACTCAACCAAGCAGCAGCCAATTAATCCCCAAGTGCTTCCTTATAACTCAACCAAACATTTGAAAGGTTTCTGCTGCTGTTTACTGAAAACATACTGGATTGTGGCGCATCCTGGAGAGTCAAGCAATACTTAATTTAAACGATGGATGATTTAAACACACAGAATATATGTGGGGGGAGAATTAACGTTATGGTCATTCAGCTGATCAAGATTTTAGTTTTGTTTTCCTATGTAAATGAAAGTACAATGACGTTAATATCCAATGTGCAAACGCTGATGACTTCTTGGAGCAAAATTAGCACGAAAAAGACAACAGTTATTCTTACACTGCATTGTGATTTTTATAATACTGACGGGTATATCACTAAATCTTTATGTACTTAGCATTATCCAGCAACTATTGATACTGTACCACGATCTTTTAAATTGTGCGTCGCCTATTTAAGGATCTATCTACATTTTACAGTACTGTTACACAGTATTTCATTGGAAAACGAAGCGCACATATCCCATTGGTGATGCATGTGCATAAGATGAGCTAAAGGTTAAAACGCCTCACTTTGGTAAGGGGGAAATCAACAGATACGATTTAAGCAGAAGTTTTTTTTAAAAAGATAATAATGAAGTGCAATAAATGTGAAGTTTCTTTTGTGGTGAATCAAGGAGAGAGAGAGGGCGAGGGATGTGTTACTCAGTTTACAGTTGTTAAGATTTCTGATGAAAGCAATTTTTTTTTAAAAAAAAAGAAAAATCATTTGATCAAAAATTCTGATTTGGCTCGGAAACTTAGGAGGGAGGTTTGGAGGCAGGTGGCATTGATCAAAAGTGGTAGAGCAGGGGGTTGAAGTGGAGAGAGCAGGTGGTTTGTGTGTTGATTGCAGTAATTGTAACCCATTGAGTTGGGTGTGTGTTTGTCATTAGGATTGAAGAGCTGTTTCTCTGTTTGGCAGGGGGGTTGTTTTTCGCTAAACCCATGCGGTCAAGAGGTTATGTGACCATGTTGGATCCCTTTCAGCAAATCTATGGCAAACGGATGGGAGGGCTACTCTTCATCCCCGCTCTGATGGGCGAGATGTTCTGGTCGGCGGCCGTGTTCTCCGCATTAGGTAACGAGGTGTTACCCCCAATCGCAAAGAAATGTCTCGTTGACTGAAGTCTTCCATCTTTCCACTGAAACGCTTACAATGTAGAATTGTTGGGGTTAATTTTTTTTTGTGGCGGGTGGGGGGGGGGGCAGAAAAAAACACATATCCGTGTTAGATATGTTGCAAAAGTAAAATCGCTTCTTCCGAGAGAAAGTCAACTCACCTTAAGGTGAAGCAAACAAAAGATTAATTGGTAAATATTTAATAAACGTTAGATATTACCATTGACCCCCAAACACTTTTTTTCAGGTGCGACTTTGAGTGTTATTGTGGACATCAATATCAACATCTCGGTTATTGTCTCTGCGGTGATCGCAATCTTTTACACTCTGGTGGGTGGCTTGTACTCTGTGGCATATACAGATGTGGTCCAATTGTTCTGCATCTTTATAGGATTGGTAAGGTTGACAGCTGTTCGGGTTTGTTGGGAACTTAACTAAACTTTTCTTTGATTGAAGAAAGCCAGTGCTGCAACCTTTTAATCCTCTTTCCACAGTGGATCAGTGTACCCAGTGCCATGTTTCATCCAGCAGTTACAGACATCACCATCACTGCAACCCAGGAAGTTTACCAACAGCCTTGGCTGGGGACTATAAATTCACAAGACATCTTCACCTGGTTGGATAATTTCTTATTGCTGGTATGAAGGATGCATCCTGTGTTTTCCTGTGTAACAATCTTTTTAGACTTTAATTCTTACATGTATTTTTCCCATACAGCGTGAAACCAACAAACTAGAAAGTAGTATTTAAAAAAAACTGAAATACATTCATAACACGTCAAAAAATTGGCTAGCATAAAGGAAATTGTGGTATTATTAGATAATAATATTTCATATATGTTAATGAAAGTGGCTATATAATGTAAATTTGTACTGTATAAGTCATTCAATTTATTAGCAATAGAAAGCTACAGACAATAGTGGATGAACATACTGATGATGCAACTATTAACTGCACTTTTCAGATGCTGGGAGGAGTCCCATGGCAGGTCTATTTTCAGAGGGTTCTCTCAGCTTCTTCTGCAACCTATGCACAAGTATTGTCATTTCTGGCTGCCTTTGGATGCATAGTCATGGCTATCCCATCTGCGCTAATCGGTGCAATTGGCGCATCAACTGGTAACATAATCTTTTCAGCACCTACTCCTTTAAACATGCATATGACCACTTCCCTCTACCCCTACATGATTTCCGTTGCTCGGTATCCAATCCCATCTTTGTGAAGCACTTCAATAAATTACTCTACGTGAAGCATGCTATATAGATGCAAGTTGTTATTGATTTCTGTTGATATATTGTCTTTAAGTAAGCTCCATAGCCTGGATTGCATAACAAGAAAATCCAATATTTGATCTCTATGCATCTTACCATTTATATATATATTTTTGTAAATTGAGTCTGTTCTCTATATTTTACCAAATGATGCTTATATTCTATATTTACTCAAATATAAGGCACCCTGAATCTAAGACATGGGAAGATTTTAGAAGGTATGGGGGAAAAAAGAACTTCACCTCAATTGTAGAATACTTGTGATTTTGGAGGTAGCTTTTAATGAAAAAAACTGGAACTCATATTTGAGTAAAAGTGATATTTTAGCTTTACTCTTTAAGATGCCAAATATTTATACATGTCCATAAAGAAAATAACTTTAAAACAAATAGAATGTCTTATGCCTGCAGGATAAGCATGATTTTGATTCAGATGTTCCTGTTTTATAGACTGGAATCAGACTTCCTATGGTTTACCAGACCCTAAGGGCAAGAATGAGACAGATATGATTTTACCAATAGTACTGCAGCATCTTTGTCCACCTTACGTTTCCTTTTTTGGCCTTGGAGCCATCTCTGCTGCAGTGATGTCATCAGCGGACTCTTCTATCCTATCAGCAAGCGCTATGTTTGCTCGAAATATCTACAATCTTACATTCAGACAGGAGGTAAGCTGAGGTTGCCAGACATTGATCCATGCGGTGTTATTACGGATGAAGCTACCTTTGGCTATGTTATGGCATTCTTCATAATATATTGCAACAAAGAGGATTTATTCTGGTTACATTTTCTTTGCCAAATTAAATACATCAGGTTCTCTCTGAATGATATTTGTATTCTCCCATATTATGAATTGTCACATGGTTGGATTTCACTCAAATATTTGGTAAAACTCTTTTTTATTTCACATAATGAGACACAAGGAACAGAATGCACTGTACAATATAGATTTACATTTATCTAGGGCCTTTCACATCGGGAGAACATCCCAAGGCACTTGACATTCCTGTCTTGGCACCCAATGCAGCTAAATATTTAATAATTTAAAAGCACAGCAATTTTATATATATATTGTTATTTGTATTGAAACCTATACACAAACTGTTTGTCCAATATTCGGGGAGTTGACTGGAGCATTCTGGGTGAGGAATGTTAAATTGAGTCCTCAGCTGCGATTTGAAGAACATTACATGTGTAAATTTTATTTGTCATCCCACAATTAATATTCTTTTTTCAATATAATATGTTTTTGCAGGCTACTGACAAAGAAATTCTGTGGGTCATGCGAATCACCATATTCCTGTTTGGACTAGCTTCAATGTCTATGGCTTTGATAGCCAAATCGGTCTACGGCTTGTGGTATCTGAGCTCGGATCTCGTGTATGTTATTATCTTCCCTCAGCTGGTAGGCGTACTCTTCATCAAAGGGATCAATACATATGGCTCCATTGCTGGTTACATCATTGGCTTTTTGCTGCGAATTAGTGGAGGAGAACCATATTTACACCTGCAACCATTTATCTGTTATCCTGGATGTTATTTGGAGCAAGTCTATGGAGGTGAACCAGTCTACATTCAGAGATTCCCCTTTAAAACTATGTCAATGCTATCATCCTTCTTGGGTAACCTTGCCGTTTCTCATCTGGCTAAGTATTTGTTTGAACGAGGAATCTTGGCACCAAAATTTGACTTTCTTGACAGTGTTGTTTCACGACACAGCAAAGAAAACATGGATAAAACGACCTTGGTGAATCACGATAATATCACTTTGTCTGAGTTGGTGCACGTGAATCCAAAACAGAATGCCTCAGTTAATGCCAGTTTTACTAACACAGAAGCATTTCAGGATATTGACTCAAGTCCTGAGTTTTCCAAGTTAGACAATGACTGAGCTCCTCTCCATTCCCTTGAATTTTAGTGTAATCATAATCACACAAGGATATTATGTTAATAATATAGTGTTTCAGGATTTATCAGTGTGTTCAGAAACTGAAAGAAAGTTTTCTATTGTCAGTGGTTCCCTGATAATTATTCACTTAAATACTGTTAAACAGTATTATTTTAACGCATACATGAACAAATATTAAATTAAGCTATAGTTTTTGAATTTGGATAGTTTGTAGACTCTTGTTACCTCATATAGTCACACTGCAGATACAAGATACCACAGGTTACCTGGATTGACGGGTGTTGTGAGGCCTTACAGAAGGGATGTGGCAGAATATTAAGGGCTATCAAAATAATAATTAATTGCTCCACTATTCTCCACTCTCTTAAGTCAAATTGAAATTGAATTGAACTCTAATGGACTGCACTTATCAAATAGCTGCTGACTCACTAATTGCTATTGGAATTAAAGGAAAAAGTGAAAATGCTGGAAATCGGAAATGTAAACAGCACATCAATCATCTGAAAGTGAAAGGTAAATTGACATTTCTGGCATGTCCAACTATTCTTCTCTTTCAGATGCTCATTGACCTGCTGCCAATTTCAAATATTTATGTTTCTTACTGTTGGATACAATTTTGGCTTTCATTTGACACATATCTGGATTTTACATGCTTACTTGCATTCCTACATCCAAACAATAAATTCAAAACAGTGATCCCTATCATTGCCACGTTTCATTGACAAAATGGTGAAGTATTCAAGAGCCTCAATTGTGCCCACATATACTTATTACATATATAACTTAGATTACAATTAAGGCTGTAAATTGGGTAATTGTATAGGGATCATGAGCATAAATCCTGCCTAATTCCCTCTTTCTCTCAGAGGTAATCAAGTCAGTTGCCACACCCCAAATGTACTATAACTATAATCAGTTAATTCAGAACAGATCCACTGGTCAGTAGTGTAGAACTAATCAATGCAGTTTCAAATCATAATCGTGGAAGGCTAACCTTATTTATATATACTGCACAGCCATCAGAAGATAAAATCTCTTGCTAGAAATTAATGTGACCATTCACTAAAATCAGTTATAGTAAAATCTAGAACTACATGTGGTATCTGAATGACATTTAGCTGCTGATACCAGATAATACTACTTATAGGATATGTCACAAGATGAAATCACAAGAAATATTTGGATGAAGAAGGACATTTACTCCATTCAATCTTTCCAAAATACAACCATTATGTTATTATGTCTTCCAAAATACAACCATTATGTTATTATGTCTTCCAAAATACAACCATTATTTCTGCCCACAAATATACAGTCAATTTGTGGGCGAATTCTGTGAAGTATATTCTGTGAAATGCTTTGAGAGGTCTAGAAGACTTGAAAAGCGCTATATCAAATGCAAGGATTGTTATTATTATTATGTCTTCCTATTATGTTCTGAAGTGGTTTCTTAAATGTTTCCTGTGTTTTCGCCTCAGCTACCTGGTTGCTGTTATTGGTTCCAATTCTAAACTTACCCTTTATAACCTACAATCTGTGGGCTCTTGTCCTATTGCCTTAGCACATATGAAAGTATTATTGTGGTTTACTTTCTCCATTCCATTCAAGCTCTTATATATCTCTACAAGATACATTCAGAGGCCCCTCTTTTCAAGGCTGTAGAGCCCTAGTTTAACTAATTGTTCCTCATAACTGATTCTTTGAATACTGGGGATCAGACACAAATCCAGTCTGTCACCAAGTTAAATAATACAATGTTCAAAATATGCGCACGTCATAGAATCATAGAATATTACAGCACAGGAGACCATTTAGCCCATTGTGCCTTGTGCCGGCTCTTTGGAAGAACTACCCAATTAGTCCCACTCCCCAGCTCTTTCCCCATATCCTTGCAAATTTTTCTTTTTCAAGTATCTATCCAATTCCCTTTTAAAAGTAATTATTTAATCCACCACCCTTTTAGGTAATGCATTCAAAACAATAATAACTCTTTGTGTCCAAAACATTTCTTCCCCTCTTTTTTTTGCCAATTATCTTAAATCTATGTGCTCTGGTTACTGACCCACCTGCCGGTGGAAACAGTTTCTCCCTGTCTACTCTATCAACACTCCTCATAATTTTGAACACCTCTAATAAATGTCCCCTTAACCTTCTCTGCTCTAAGGAGAATAATGCCAGCTTCTCCAGTCTCTCTAACTAAAGTCCCTCATCCCTGGTACCATTCTGGGAAATATCCTCCGCCCTCTCTCCAAGGCCGTGATATCTTTCCTAAAGTGTGATGCCCAGAATTGGATACAAATGTGCCAGCTTGTCTTGTTAAAAAAACAAGACGACCTTTCATTAGCAATAATCATGCTGCAGTTGCTCCAAAGGTTAAAACTGTTAAAATATAATAAACGCACAAAATTATTAAAAGTTATACAAAAGTTATGTATTAAGGTCATATTCTATTCCATATTGTGTCATCCAACATTAATGTAATTGAAAGGAAAATATATATTGTACGTTAAATACAGTAAAGGGTATAACTAGCAACATTATAAATGTTTTGTAACCTTGGGTAGTTTATTCATCTTTACAGGTGATGCATTGTTAATTTGACCACCTGGTCAACATTTGCAGGGCTTATACCTAGTGTAATGTATACCCCATTTATTTCAATATTACTATATATATCTAATGTGTGTATATATAATATATATATGTTATATATTATATAATATATATATTACACATTTTTCTGAAAGCCAGTGCAGCAGAATAGAGCACTTAATTTTAATTGAGTTTTTACCATCTTATTGGACAGGTTTATTATTTCAGTATTTTCTGTTTTACCATCCACTCTCAGTAGCATCTTAAATGCCTTCTGGATCAATTCGCTGTGTTACCCCTACACCAGTTAGTGATAATTTCCCCCTTATCTGGATTGTGTACCTCCCAAGAATGTTTAAGAACAGTAGGTTTCCTCATTCATCAGTTCCATTTTACATTATGCAGAATCTAATAGATTGGTTAGTTGGTTCTCAAGCGATTCTTACTGCATATTGGAAATAATTTGATATTTTATTCTATGTTACTGTTAAACTAATTTGCATTGTAAAAAGCAAAAGTTCTGGAGAATCTGTTAAAACCTGATGTAGAAATTATCAAAGTTCAGTTCTATCTAAATATCCTTATTTTTATTTCTTACCAGTACAGTGAATACAAGAAACATTGTGTGTGTTCTGTCTGTGACTAAATATTTAAACCCCCATTGGTTGCTTTTAAGTTTCTGGGTGGAAGCGATTGATCTTATTTCAAAATACCCAATGCACAGTTGGTCAGTTGGCTTGAATGTATGTATGGAAGGGAAGATCAATATGAAAGACGATGGATGCAGTGGCAATATATGAAATGCCAATATTCAGATATCTAACCCATGTAAAGTGCTTACAATTACACAAGAGACATTACATTCAAATTGGCCATAGGATATGAAGAACTTCATAGTTTATCAAAACCAGTTGTCCATAATCCAATATTCAGATGCTTCAAAAGATTATTTTGACTAGTCGTTCCAAGTATATTTAATCTAATGTAGATTGTAATGTAGATAGTGTAATGTACTGTAAGCCTCAAATGAGTCAGTGAATGTACAGTGTGTGTATATATATATGTATATTTTGTCTGTATCAGAGTTATCATCAGATGAATCTATCAAACATAGTTGTATAAAGCGCTATGCGTATCCATCATTTGTGGTATAGTACAATATTCAAATGTGCCAAATAGAATTCAGGAAGCAGACTGTGCAATATGTTTGTTTTGTTCATCTTACAGAACAATGGTTCTTTGTACAGGTTGTTTCTCGTGTTCATTATGGAATACTATTCAAATAAATCCTCTGATTTAAAAAGAAACATTTCTTACAGATTTAATTCATGGCATATATTGTTTGCACATTGACTGAATTCATTAAGTGTGACTCTAAACCTGTTGAAAATACTAATTTGGTCTCTTTTTTTGGAAGATGCTTTCAAAATGTCTGAAACAAACTGAATGCTATTTTTCTCAGTACACTCTCAGTATTTGATGATACCTCTAATTTTCCAACTGGTGTCTTTTGATCCCAGATTTGAAACTTCCATGAGGTAAATATATTATGAATGCAGTCCATTTTTAGTAGCCATGAGTTTGGAATTCTATACTTTCTAATGGTCGGTGCTCCAGAAACTCTCTACTGTCAATTAAATTGTAACTACTGAAAAATAGATCCCTCAAATCTGCTGCATGGATTCCATACTCTGCTTTACATTTAAAGACGACTTACAAGTTTATTGAAAGCATTATTACAACAGTATAAAACTGAAATGAGGTGTGTTAACAAATACATATTACATCAGTGCATTTATTTAAAGTATCTATGATGCTTCCAGTAAAGTTTCCTCTCTCTAAAGTGGAAGTATAAGGCTTGCCCTTCAAGATTGAATTGTAGATAGGTTGTATCTGCTATTAATTGTGCTCTTATTGCTTTGGTGAAAATCCATGGAAAAATGTATTTAAACAATTCTGCTCNTTTGTTTTAGCAAATATTAAATTTAATGCTGAGAAATCAAATCATTTCCCATTGAAATAGCCTGAAGCTTTAATTGGTTTTCAGTTGAAATTACAATCCTAAATTAAGGCAGAGATACTTACATTGTCTCAGCACTGGTCACGCTCTTAATGAGAACGGGGCAAGTCGAAATCAACGCAGTGGGGCCAGGGAGCAACCCAGACGGTAAGATTGAGGAACTTTATTCTCACCAATGTTTTACGTCAGGTTGTTGATTTATGTTATATTTTTACATTTCCATGCACCCCACTAAGGTTGTTTATCATAATTGTATGCGGTAGGTGGTTACTGCAAGGACTAAGTAAGAGAGGCATGTCACTGTTTCTGATGGAGCAGCAGAACCAGCATCAGCACCTAGATTTGCTGAAGAAACTTCATAGATTGGTGT